GATGGATGGATGAATTAAAATGAACTGCATCTTTTTAAAAACAGAAATGGGGGCTTCCAGATCTTCAAGAAACAAAAGTTCATCATCAGAGCCTCCAAATCCATCCCCTGAAATACCAAACAATACAAGAAAAAATGACCTAAAAGTTGTTGCTACTTTAGAAGAGAACCTTCAAAATAATTTAATTCTGACAGAGGATCAAAAGAGATTGGATGAATTTTGAGAGGAAAAACCTGGCAAAGCTGAAGATGGATTCAAACAATAAATGATCCTGTTATTTTTCAACATTTAAGGAACAACACGGCTCACTGGTTTGACAACTTTATTTAATTTGCCCACTGCTGTGTTGTGTTTGCCTCGGATAGAGAATACAAGCAGTGGCCACAGCTAGCCAAAATGTTAGCCACTAATCTACTAAACAAGAATCATAGTTCTGCRAATGCTAACCYCTAAACAGATAAAKAATTATTGGAAGCTAARGCTAACGCTAAGTCYACACATCATCTCCTTCCAGTTGAAGACTGGTGGACTGACACAAACCTGATTGTTTTCTACTGGTTTGATTTAAAGGTGGGCAGAATCGTCTGTGGCAAATCGGCCAATCCAAACRAAAGTTATAGCTCTGTTTAACTTGTGATACTTCCAGTTTAGCCCTTTCACAATAAAAGCATTTCTATATCAAGTTTGTATTTTTATAAAAACAGTTTGAAGTTTGTCAAACAACAAACAGCAAAAACATTCTCCACCATATTTTATACATAGTCAGTTTTTGTATTCTTTATTCAAATATAGTTCAATGTTATTTTATTTATTTTTGATGCTCTTAATTTAAAGTTAGTTGCTAAAGATGCTACATGCTAACACACACGGTGCACCACGGGTCCTGCACTGCTTGTAAGAGGGGGTAGTTTTTATTTAATTCAAGATAAACATTAAATAAAAGTTTTACACTTGTGATTTTCTTAGTGGACTTAAAATGAGCAGAACCTAATTTATCGATTAGCGGAAGCTAATTGATCCGCTAACAGTTTCCAAAGTTAGCACAAAAGCCAATTTGTTAAATGAGAAGCTAATTCTGCTATTAGCACATCTGTGCCCACCACTGGAAGTTTGGGGCAGCCTATGATGATGAGCTGGTCTACAATGAGGCAGAACTCAAGCTAGATGAAAACCCACCTGGATCATGTAAACCTGAGTAGAGTTTAGTGCAGGGCTATTCAACTAAACTGCTCCGGGGGCCACAGTTACTGCCTGTCAACAGCTGAGGGGCCGAACATCCAGC